TTGTTGTTTTTTGTTGTTGTATGGCTTGTATTTCTTCTGGTGTTTTATAAGGAGAAGAAGGAAAGAAGAGAAGAGCAGCAAGGAAGCAGAGGCCGTTGCATGCAGCAGCATAAAACCAACAAACAAAAGAAAAAGAAATATATTTTGTGGCTGCATGCATAATAAAAGGAATAGAGAAACTAGCGCTCATGCATGCACAAATAAAAATAATAATAAATTTTTGTTTTTTATAAAAAAGTTTAGATATCGTCATTGATGGGAGATACCCTGCATCAGCACCAAGAGAAATAAAAACAATAGAAAGAATATAAATATATACATTTTTATTTTTATTTATATTTATATTTATATTTTTATTTATATTTTTATCAATAAAACCCAGCAACAACCACCCTATTAAGGAGAAGAGCTGGCCTATGCATGCTGTTGTCTTGGGGCCCGCATAATCTAATATAAAACCAGAAACAAGAGAAAAAGAAAAAGAAACAGCTAACCCTAAAGTAAATAAAAACTGTACACTAGCATCCTGCTCCTCACACATATAACGTTTATCTTCTCCCCCTGCTGCTGCTGCTGCTGCTGCTGCTGCTGCTGCTTCTGCTGCTGCTGCTGCTGGTGTTGTTTCTCCTCCTGCTGCTGCTGCTGCTGCTGCTGTAGTTTCTCCTCCTGCTGCTGCTGCTGCTGCTGCTGCTGTGTCTTCGCATAGCCAGCTGTATGCACCCTGCTCCAGCAACATATTAGATAGATGAGGCCACCCAAACAAAACGCGGGCGCTAACACAAACATAAATTAAATGTATTATTAATAACAGAATAGGAGATAAACCGAATGGGGTCTTTTGTTTCTCTGCTGCTGCTGCTGCTGCTGCTGCTGCTGCTGCTGTTGCAGTTGCTGCTGCAGAGGGAGAAACAGAAGAAGAAATATCAACAGAAACATCACCATCAGCAGCATCAGCAGCAGCACCAGCTCCTGCTGCTGCTGCTGCTGCAGCAGCAGCAGCAGGAGCAGCAGCAGCTGATGATGATGATGGTGGTGATGCTGCTGATGAGGATGGGTGTAAACCCTCAACGCTTAGAATGCTGCTGCAGCATTCATCTATAGGAGAAGAAGATGCTGTTATTTCTGGGGTTTTATTTATTTTTTCTTTTTCTTTTTTGTTTTCTTCTTTTTGTTTTTTGTTTCCCCCTTTTCTACTCATCTCGATTACTACAAAATATTAACACAGACAAAAATATATTATCTCCTGCTGCTGCTGCTGCTGCTGCTGCTGCTGCTGCTGTTTTTGTTTCTGTTTTTTTTTGTATAAGCAGCAGAAACACCCAACAACAACGACAGAACCTCGGAGCTGCCCATACACCCCAGCTGCGTGCGTAGCAGGGGGAGAAACAGATGAATTTCTTTGTGGCTTTCGCCTCAACAAAATAAATAAAGGATATGTTGCTCTGTATAGAGCTACTTAATTGGGTTTTTCTGAAAGTTGCAGCAACGCCCTCAGCAGCAACAGCAACAGCAGCAGCAGCAGCAGCAGCAGCAGCAGCAGCAGCAGCTGGAGCCGCAGGAGCAGCAAGAACAAGAACAAGTAGTATAAGGATCGATATATGCCGTCTCAGCAACGCCAAATGGAAACTCAAGAGAAAAAAAAGAAATAAAAAAAAGTAAACAGATGCAAGTGAAGCTGAAAATATAAAAAAAAGAAAAAAAACAACAGAGACTCGACAGCAGAAACCGCAGCAGTTCTGATGGATCAGTTGTTCGTTCTGTGTGGGGCTTTGGAGCCTTCTAGGAGTAATTTGTAATTAATTTATTTTATATTTTATTTTTTATATATTAAATACAAAATTAACAAAATTCTAAAATATTTTACACAAAAAATGTTGCAGCTTTCCCTCCTCTGGCGTTGATCAGCCGTTGCGGATTCCAACAGAAACCACGAGGCGGTGCAGTCTGTGTTTTTTGTTTTTTTTTGTTTTTTGTTTTTTATTTATCTCGATAAAAAAACACTAAATTTCCTCTTCTTCTGCGTATTTTTATAAACAATTTCTCTCGTTTTCCCCCCAAAATATGCCGTCGATAGAGCCTGACACGGCAGCCACCGGCTCGGTATGTATCTCTGCGGTGTACGTACACCTCAAAAGATGTCGAACTGAAAGTTGCAATTCAGATAAAAACTTCGTTTTCTTTTTCTTTAATTAGAGAGTTTTAGGGTTTATTTATTTATATAAATATAAATATATATATATATATATATATTTATACTGCAGCTGACAGCAGCAAAACTCTACTTTTTTTTTTTATCAGTTTCGAGCTGTTTCCTCTCTGCTGTTTTTTTATTAAAATTTCTTCGTTTCTGTTTCTGCATTTACAGTGTAACATCTGCAGCTCCACTTCTTTGTTTTCAGGTGTACTGTACACGCAGCTCGTCGATGCAGATACTCTTATCCTCACAACAAATATGAAATTAAGTATAAGTTTCTTTCTCTGGTCTTCTGCTAAACAGAATCCAGAAATACACAAATAAAACAAAATAAAATAAAGTTAATCCTTCAGGTTCTCTAGATTCATACCTTCTCTATGAATACATCCATGCATGCATGCATGCATGCGAATACATATATGTATGTAATATACTATATAAAATATAAAACATATTTAGCTTATACTGAACGTAGATGAGACTATAATACATATAATATATTTTTGTATTTTTTTTAGTGCAATATATATACATTACTAGTAAATGGGTTTAATGCGCTGCAGCAGACAGCACCTGTGCTGCTCTTGCTGCTGCAGCAGCAGCAGCAGCAGCAGCAGCAGATGCTGGTGTTGCAGTCTGTCTCTAAGCTTTTTTGTTTGCCTTGACATTATAAATAAAACTGAAACAAACCCCTGAATGCAACTCTATGGGGATACCATAAACCCTAAACCCTAAACCCTAAATATTTAGTTGTGATCGAACTCACCAAGAAGTGTAAGCAGAGGGAGTTTTATGAATATCAATCACTAACTATATATAAATAAAAAAAATAAATAAATAAATATATATATTATATATAATATATTATATATATATATATATTATATATATAATATATAGAGTGGAGAAAAGAGGTAAAAGCTGAAATTTTGAGTTTCAGCAGAAGTCTGCGCGGCGACGGCGCGAGCAGCTCGGGCTGCAGTGTCTGTCTGTTCAGCAGTCGCCGTGTGTATGAGTGTATATAAATAATATATATAAATATAAATAAATACACAAATATATATAAATATATATAAATATTTATATTTATATATATATATATATATATATATATATATATATATATACATACGATA